TTTTTTTTTTTTTTGTTTTTTTTTTTTTTTTTTTTTTAATGTTTGGGTTTTGTTTTGTTTTTTTGTGCTTATTGGGAAACTAGAGACATGAAAATGTTAGGAATCCTAGAATGAAAAAGGATCTGTTGAATTAAAAATACAATTTTAATGACGTTTGCCTTTTTTCATTCTGTTTTAGCACCTTCTCAGTGAGCAACACAGAAACTTTGCAGAGAGTAACCAGTACCAAGTTGTTGATGATATTGTGTCTAAATTAGTTTTTGATTTTGTTGAAAGTGAAAAAGACACACCTAAAAAGAAAAGGTAATTTATCAACTAAAGCTTTAAACTCGTGTTTTTATATATATATATATATATACATACATACATATATATATGGCTAAAAACCAGTAACTTCCATTCCCATGCTTACCTTAGTTTTAGTCTCCTTGATGTGGCTTGCCAAAGGAGTTGGCAAACTTTTTTTTAATGAAGTTAATATTTTAGATTTTGTGAGCCATAAGATCTTATACTTTCACTAAGTATTTATGTTTTACTATACTTGCTATTTATTACTGAAGTTATTGCTCTTTGTTGTACAAGAACTAACTGCACATTGACAAAATAGATCCTGATTAAATTATTCCCATAAACTAAAATTTCTTAAATGCTTTATGTACTTTCAACTAGAGTGATAATTCAGTATATTGTATGCTACAATAAAAATTTACAATTCCCTAATAATTCACTCTAAAATTCTGAACTAGTAATAATATTTATTTACTGGTTATTTATATATATACTGGTTATTTTATCTTTGCCAGTTTTCCCTCTGGGTCTAGACTTCTAAACTGCTCTGGACCTAAAAAGAGGGAACCATATCGGACTTAGAGTTTTTGGTTTTTAATCGCCTATTGTTTCATAAGAACCTTCTCCCCACCTATCCTGTGTTGGAGCTGGAACCCAGGGTCTCATACATGCTAGGCAAAAAAGGAAATCTTAAGTATAAACAAATCACATATGTAAAATTAACCAATCTGGTGGAAGTGTCAGGTAAATCGTGTATGTTTTACTCTTAATCTAGCATATATATACTGTAAGATGTTATAGGCGACCCAAGCATGGTGGGGCATGTCTATAATACTTAAGAGACTGATGGAAAGATTGCAAGTTCAAGGCCAGCTTAGGCAACTTAGTACAACCCTATCTCAAAATAAAAAATAAAATGGGCTATAGATGTAGCTCAGTTGTAGAGAGCCCCTGGGTTCCATTCCTAGTTCCCAAGAACTTCTATTTGTATATAATTTAGAATTGTCTAATTATAAGCTAGCATCCCATGAATATCAGGATGCAACATGAAGCAAAAAGGATAAGTCAAATATTTGATTAAATTAAAGAATTACTAATTTCTCATGTTTAACAGTATAAAGATAAGTTTCAAACTCACTTTGATAGTAAATATTTTACTCTTTAAAAATTATATGTTTCTGCCTTAGGTTTGCTAATAAATACTTATTCACAACATTACTAAGGAAAATGAGTTAAAATGTTACTGAATTTTTTAGCAAAATAAAATTAAAGGCAGACCCAGATCTAATCATATTTCCTTGGTTTACCTGATTAGTTTTAAATACTAAGTTCAGCCAGGCATGGTGGCGCTTGCCTGTAATCCCAGCACTCAGGAGGCTGAGACAGGAGAATCGTTGTGAGTTCGAGACCAGCCTGGGCTACATAGTGAGTTCAGTCTCAACTACATAGTGAGATCCTGTCTCAAAAAAAAGAAATACCAAGCTCAAGATACTGATTAGGAGGAAGAAGAAAGTGGATGAGAAGTACACTAGAGTTTTCATCTAAATAAATTTGCAAAATGTTGAGATTTCTGTTATTTTATATTTTTAAGTTAAATTTCATAAGTATGAAATTATAAATTACTTTTACTAATTTCTAAGGAATTTGGTTTGGTACCAATTAATGTTTCCTTTCCTTTCCCCCCACCGTAAAGAATAAAATACAGTGTTGGATCCCATTCTCCTGTTTCTTCAAATGTCCAGAAAAAGACTGGACCAAAAGGAAGGTTAGACTTGCAACGTATTTCTCAGAAAGACTTCAGAGAAAATAATGTACAGATGATTAAGCAGACTTTCCTTGTTGAAGAAACCCAGGAATCCAAAGAAAAACTTGTGTTTATTTCAGAACCCATCCCTTTACCTTCAACTGAATTGAAAGGACTTAATGAGAAAATGATTAATGAATGTTCCATGTTAAATGCAGCTAAAAATGACACAAAACAAAGTTTTACACAGTTACCTCCATGTAAAAACAAACAGGATTGTGTTCCTTACATATCTGAACATGAATTAATTTTAAATGAAAATCCTAGTAATCTACAGACATCTGTACAGGTTTCTCCTTTCAAGATGGATAATAATTTATCCTATCCAAAACAAAAGTCAGATACTATGCTTTTTCCAGCAAAAGACCTTCATTCAGTATTTGGTCATGATTCTGATCTGTTAACAATAAGCAGTTCAAAAGAGCACCTAACAATAAAGACAAAAATTCCATCCTGTCATCCTCCTGAGGAACTCAATGAATGTGACATCAAAAATATGGAGAATTTACCTTCCAGTAAGATCCACCGAAAAGTGAAGATATTATTAGGACGAAATAAAAAAGAAAATGTGGAACCAAAGGCTGAATCAGATAAGAAAATAACTGAATTTCATATTACACAAGAAGAAAACAGAATTTGTAGTTCACCAGTACAATCCCTACTGGATTTATTTCAGACTAGTGAAGAGAAGTCAGAATTTTTGGGGTTTACAGGCTACAATGAAAATAGTGGAATATGCAATGTTTTAGATATTTGGGAAGAGGACAATGCAAATAATCTATTGTCAGCCTTTTTCTCTTCTCCTTCAACTTCTACATTTACTGGCTTTTAATGTTTAAAAAAGTATACTCAGAAGTAAGGTTCATGTTCTCACAATTTTTATAATTAGGATTTTTTGCTTTGTTTACAAAACTATTTAAATATTAATAAAGGTGATGTTTGCAAATTTTTACAGAATTGAATACCTGTTATATAAAATAAACTTGAATCATTTTACATACTGTGCATCCTTGTGTCCTGAGGATTTTGACTGCTTTTGTCAGTGAGAACTAATAAGTTAAATTTTGAGAATATCAAAATTAAGCATTATGAATCTGTGCTCTTGTTATATCTATTATCTTTAAAAGTAGATTCCAGTGAAGTCGGGCATGGTGGCACACACCTGTAATCGCAGCACTCGGGAGGCTGAGGCAAGAGGATCTCTGTGAGTTCAAGACCAGCCTGGGCTACATAGTGAGTTCCAGGTCAGTCTCAACTACATAGTGAGACCCTGTCTCAAACAACAAGCAAAAAAAGATTCCTGTGATAATATGACATTATTTCCTCCTAAAACAAATTTTATACAGAGAGGAAAAAATGTACTAATATCCACAGAGGGTGACCCAGTTAGGCTGTGCTAGGTGGTGGTGGTGGTTTTTGGTACTGGAGATCGAACTCGGGGACCTTGTGCTTGCAAGACAGGCTTGGTTGCCACTGAGCTAAATCTCCAGCCCCACTATGCTATTATTTTGACACTAAAGAGTTAGTTTATATGTAAGGGGAAATAGAAGCCATGAAGGAAGAGCTTAACCAGGCTTCTAAAATAGAATATAATTTTTCCATTAATTAAATTTGTAAGTCAGAATAATTTAAAAAATGACTTTTGTCCTCGAATATAGTAGGAGATGAATGAGGATATTGAGCTATAGATAAAGTTTTAAAATATGTGAACATTGCCTTGATCTAGCACTTGTCAAAATAGTTGGGGGAAGAGAAAATTCAAATGTAAGAAAAATTTCTGTTTTTATTTGTAGATGCATTTGCCTTTGTGTATTTTTAGGATTGAATTTTTTACAACTAATGTTTTTTCACAGTAAAAAAATTGGTGCCATTGACCATTATGTGAATCAATACATTGTCACTAAAAATTAACTTTGGAAATCCTCTATGGCTCCCAGTATAGGATTAGTTCATGTGCTTTCAAGCATTAAGTAGGATCAATGGAATCCTTGCAGTGTGTGCATGCAACCTTGGTTATATTGTAAATTACTACTGTAGCATTTTGTGTCATAAATGTGTATGTGTGACTACGTCAGATTTTGTAGACAGCCTCAAAAATGTGAAAATTAGCCAGATGTGATTAGACATGCCTGTCATTCTAACACTTTGGGAGGCTGAACCAGGACGATCACAATTTCAAGCCCAGCCTGGGAATCTTAGTGACTTAACAAGACTGTTTCCCATTATAAAAAAAAACTTGATGTTTCTGAGTGTAAATGCCCTAGGTTCAAGCCCCACTACCAACAAAAAAAAGGGAAGAAAGCCTATAAACTTGTAAAATTATTTGTAGATTTTTCTTCCCTTCAGTTATGTTCTCCAAAATTTCCCTAATATTTTTTTTCTTTGAGACTGGCTCGTGTATGCAGTTCACACTGGCTTTGAGCTCACTATGTAGCCCATGTAGGTCTCAAATTCATGGCAATCCTCTAGTCTCAGCCTCCCAAGTGCTGGGATTAGCCAGATTTCCTAATAATTGAAAAGTATTTAAATTTGTGTGATCCTTGATGTTATAATACCAGTTTCCTCAAAGTGAAGTATTTGTTTGCCTCCCAGTTACTTGACATCTTTTTGTCTTAGTTATATTTAATGAGGAAAAGACGAACTCTACAATATTTAAACTGTATTTTGACATTTCTGAACAATTATTTTGAAGAATGGAATTTTAGTACACCTATAAGACTTTAATAATGGGAGCTTCATTTTTTTTAAAAAAATGTTTAAATTTCAGTTTATTTGGAAGTGTTATAAATTGTAGGAGGAATATCACAAAGTTTATATTGTTTGGGTTATTCAGAGGGACAGCCAGACAACATTAATTCTGGTAGAGATCCAGGCTGTTATTTGTGCCAGGTAGTGTGACATGGCACTGAGGGTACACCCTCCTAAAGGTTGAAGTGCTCTGCTGATTTTTACCAAGGATTGGCCCAGGTGCTTTTGGGGTGTCTGCCCAGAGTGCCCCCCCACCCTAAATTCTGTCATAGCACTCGATTCTGATTTGGTTTCTAGATTTGCTCACAAAAAGACACTTGATCTTTAATGTAGCAAGGTATCTTCAAAGATCCTTCAGCAAGGATAGATAGGAAACTCAGTTTGCTTGATCGAAAGTGACACACTTGCAAGTGTCCAAACAAATCAGAAATCCCTAGTAAACACAGGATAAGTGGTATCAATAGCCTTAGTCATCACCCAGAGAGAAGCAGTACAGCATTCAAAGTTGATGGCTTTGTTTTACTAGAAGTAGCAGTGGAGATAATGTGGCTTTGTGATGAAAAAATGACATCCTGAGATGACAAATAGGAATTGTTGCCAAAAAGGTAATTTAGCCAATTTTTGAAGCCAGTGACTTTTCATACTTCAGTATTGTGTCTGATATTAAGATACAGAACTGATACCTCAGTTGTCAAATTCAGTTCATTCCAAGTTCTTGTTGGAACACCAGAGAATTCAAGAACTGAGTGTATTTTTCCAATAAGAATGGGAAACCAAGTAATTGATTCTGAGGCTCAAAAATTACACTTAAAACTTCATTTTCCCCAGACTTTTTACCCAAATTTAACAGCTCTAGGTTGTGGAAACATCTACAATAAGTACAGTACATTAAATGTCAAAACAATGGTAAATAAAAATTTTAAAGTTTTGTACAGGCTCTTCACCTTGGAGGCTTTCTAGTGTACTAGAAGCTGGAGAGAAATTGGAGAAGAAATATTTTGGAAAAAGTCTCATTTCCTTCCATAATGATTGTTGGCAGTTCACTTCCTGAGGTCTTTTCTTTGTTTGTTTGTTTGTTTGTTTGTTTGAGGCAGGGTCTCACTAAGTAATTGATATTTACCTGGAATTCACTACCCCAGGCTGGTCTTGAACTCACAGCAATCCTCTTGCCTCAGCCTCCCAAGTCCTGGGATTACAGGTGTGCGCCACCACGCTCGGCTTCTCTTGGTCTTTTTTTACTGTTTTTCACTAAAAATTTGGGCAAGAGCGCACTTAGACTGAAGTGTCGCCCTTTGTGTCCGCTGGCAGGAGGCAACACGTGCCTCACTCTTGGCCCATACAAATATTTTCAAGTCGGATTTTTGGTTCAACTATCAAGCACAGAGCTGGGGATTTAGTTCAGTGGCACTGCACCTGCCTTGCAAGCACAAGGTCCTAAGTTCAATACCTGGTACAAAAAGAAAAAGTTCTATCAAACAAAATTAGGGACACCATACAGGTTTTTTTGAGCTTTGCTGTTTGAGTAGTGAAAAGTTCAAGCTTGAAGCTCTCTGACAACCATCTATCCATTATATATGTAGATGTTCCTAATGTTTACAATTTGTAGAAGCCCCTAATGTGAAAACAAAATATACTTATGTTTAAAATAGGAACAGGAAATAAAGGATTATATGTGGAAAACTTTTACCTAAAACCACTGAACTTGAATCCTGTATTTCAAGAAATGTAGAATTATTTTATGTCATCAGATAAGATTTTGAACTTTTTTAGAACTCTTTGTTGCTAGGGTGGATGTATAGTTCTCTTTTGCCATCTGAAGTATAAGTTCAAATAATTGTCATATATTTAAATATAAATTTCTATGCATCCAGTTTCAATTAGTTTTATGTTAAACTTTTCGGTCACAAGTAATTCCAGTGATGTTCTATTAATGGAAATGTAAGAGTAACAGACCTCCTCCTGTGGGAGACCCTCACTAGGCCAGCAGGATTTTAAACCATGAGATTCTCATGTAAAAAGGTTTAAAACAATGCCAGTCACAGAGTAGGTTGCCCAATATAAAATATTTATGTACTTACTTATTTATTTTTGGTACCAGGGATCAAACTTGCGCTTGCAAAGCAAGCGGCAGAACAACTGAGCAAAATCCCCAGCCCACCCAATATAAAATATTAAGTGGGCCTATATTACCTTACAGTATAGTCACTACGCACTTCTATGCATTATCATCTTTAATAAGACAAATACATCATGCATAAGCCATGTATTTGTGATTACATTATTTGTTATAGGGAACGTGCCAAGGAAGATTGACATGGCACAAAGAAAACCAAATGAATAGTTGGTTTAGCCTTTTATCTGTCTTAATTATAGGGAATATTTAGTAGTGTTATACAAAGTGTGTGGCACCCATTTCCACAAATTCAAGAAATTACCCTTTCTGCATGAAGAAGCAGCATTATAACCATCTCTTCACTTGTGCAAACTATTGACTATACTAGTTAAAAAGTGGAAAAGAACTTAGTCATTTGCAGTTAATCTTTCCATTAGTAATGATTTGTACAGTGTCTGAGGGAAGTGGCCTACTTAAAATTCTATACCCCCACACAAAATGAGGAAGAGCTCTGGGAAATTAGGATGTAAAAATAATTCCTTAGCAAAAAGCAATCCTCGAAAGAAAAAGATGACTTTTGAACACTAGGAGAATAGCATAGGATGAAAAAATACGACAAGAAATCAAGAATCAGATTAAAATTGCACTCAAGGATGTCATTATTCATAAGAACAACTCAAAATGATCAAAGTCCCTATATATTATTATACAATAGTTTGTTTTACATGGTTGTAAGTTGTAGTTAGGCTTTGTACTCTTGTTCAATTGTTTGACAATACTTTTCCCTACCTTCCTCAAATCCCAAGTTAATGCTTCAGTGGTTATTTTGAATGTCAAATTATCAATTTAGGAAAACTAAGAAGGCAGCATCTGTAGACTTTTTTTTTTTTTTTTTTTTTTTAACCAGGGATCGAACTCAGGTCCTTGTGCTTTTGAGGCACACGGCGGATCCACTGAGCTAAATCCCCAGCCCTGTAGATACTTCTTTCAACAAAGATGTTTTTG